ATACGTAGTCTTTTAAAGAAATAGTAGAAGATAAATATACACGATTTTATTATCTATATAGAAGAAGCCTTCTATTAGTATATAGCCTATTAAAGAGACTTTAAAGAGAGTAGATTTACCTATCCCTAGAAGCCCTCGATACGCTAATTCTATATACTCTTTCTAGTCTAAAAGATATCCTCTAGTATAGTATCTAGTATATATAGCTAGTATACTATAAGGAAGATATCGCCTATTATCGAGTACTTAGTTCTAAGGTTAATACGTATATACTATAGATAGTAATACTACTAGGTAAGGACGTTAAGGAATTAATATCCTACGCTAGTAGAAGTCTATATAGTAATCCTAACGTATATCTATAGGATAAATCGTGAGTAGCTATCGATTATACCGTAGATCTCGATACTAAAGTCGGAAAGCTTTATATAGCTATTAAGATACTATATAAAGTTAGGACCTAGGTAGCTATAAGATCTACGCTAGCGCTATTAATCTTTTATACGCTAAAGAAGGGTATTAGGCCGTAGCTCGCGCTATATAGTAAAGGTTCGTGATTAAGGAAAGGCCTCTTCCTAGCGACGTATATAGATATAAAGAAGTCTCTTACTATATCCCTTAATTATACCCTTTTTCGTTCGTTTAGTAAGCGAAGAAAGGATTTATAGCTATTTATTATCTCGTTTATCTAGGTTATTAACGTAATACTTAATACCTAGCTAGTTAATACATAACCTACGTAGAGAGTATATATTAATAGTATCCTTAAGTACCTAGATATCCTAAGAAGTAATCTACTTACGTAGAGTACGAAATAATAGTATATATCCTTCCTTCTATAGTATCTAGTAGATTTACTAGTCTAGGCGGTTCTTTTTAAAAAGGGTAAGGTAACGAGCTTAGATTACCGGATCGTACTATAGCTACGGAGTAGGTCTTTAGTATATACCCTATTAACGAAGCCGAGACCTTAAGGTCCTATCTATAACCACGATTCCCCTACGCCGTAGGGTATCGTAAATCGCTTCTAAGGTAGTAGTCTCTTAGCCGTAGAGAGCGATAATTTTATCTTTATATAGCTCTAAATTAATAAACGGCCGCGGTATAGCGGTATTACGTGCGAGGAAGCGAGCGAGAGTGTAGGATTGGAAGATTCAAGAGAGGATACAGGATAAATAGTATATATAGGATTAGAGGATTTATAGGGTGTGTAATAAGGAATTCTACAGGGCCTCTCATTAGCTAGATCAGAATTACCTTACCTAATCGGTAGGCGGAAGGCTAAGCAGTGTAGGGACCCACAGTTATTTCCGGCCTGGTCACTATTAACCTCGATACCGGCCTCAGCCCATCAATAATATGCGTAATCCCGAAGTTGCCTTACTAGGCCTTTACACCTGTTCCTCTTACGTCCCGACTCATTCATCATGTACTCCCCTCTAATATATATCTTAACGGCTATTTCACACCGCCTAATAATTAAATCGCTGTGACGCCAGATTGTGAAGAAAAGTGCGCTCTTTTCCCTTTCGGCAGCCATTACGTCTGTTATCATATGCGTCGTATTCAGGATGTAGAGTATTCCATTTACTTTCTCTATCCACGGTTCTCTTCTACCGAAATTACCGCTTCGAATACAAATAATGTTGGCTATACTTCCGTATCCTTAAATCGTCGGCTCCTCGGTGTCCTTGAGTCTTTTCTGTAAATGCGAGAGAAACAAAGGCTGCGTGTCCTCGAGTGTATACATTAAACCATGTAGAATAGCAGGAGTATTACTGTAAAGATATAACTACTTGTAGGGTAGAAGGCCTGTCAACTAGGTAGAAGAGCAAAGCACCAAGTCCAATTGTAACGGAGACTGCTTCTTGAGAAGTTCCAAAATAAACTTCTCAAGCATCGGTTTATATACAGCTTTCCTCATGTCGGACAGAGACACACCAAGGAACAATAACAGAGTGAAACGCGTATGCCAACAGATTGTGTAGCCGGTTGACTTAGCCTACACACGGGGTTGCCCATCCGCAACGCCTCAGAGAGGATGCCGGTTGACCGCCGAGGGATCACCTAGTAATAGTGTTCTATTGAGCTTGCTTACTTAGGTCACTCCTCTTTAAGTTAACTAGTTAACGTAATTCCGGGCCCTCCCGCGCACCCGGTCGTCCCGCGCACCCTATCTAAAATCGCGTCTTCCTACCAACCTACCTACTTTAACCATCTACTATACCACTAATTCGCACTGAATCTAGCCGTAAATTGGCCAATCAAGAGGGCAAGATCCTACTAGCCCTTTAAGATATCAAAAATAGCCGTATTCTATCAGTACGCGTAGCGGCTAGGCTATACGATATACCTAAAATAACACTAGGTAGACGCGTGTATAGTATCTAATCGCGCGTTGACTAGCGCCTAACTAGCTATAAATTGACTTAATTAGAAGATAATTCGCTTACTAAATAGATACTCTCTATAGATTCGCGTAGGGTAGCGCCTAGGCCTTCTACTATTCGAGAGATAGCTAATATCCTATTAGCTACGCGCGAAGAGGCTTCTCTATCTACTGTTAAAAAGAATTAGCCGTTAACCTTTACTAACCGCTATCCTAAGCTTCGTACATGCTTCTCACGAAGATATAATTACTAAAGAGCCCTAAACGAAGACCCAAAATCGCTACGAGAGTAGTTTACGACTATATAACGTACTATCGATAAGAATAGTATATAACTAGAGGATATCTATAACTTTAATAAGATAGGCTTTATAATAAGCCTTATATCTTCGTAGAAAGTAGTTATAAGAGCTAAATACTACGATCGGAGATCCCTTCTATAACTAGGAAATCGTGAATAGGTTACTACGATTAAAATAATCTATATAGATAGCTTTTTACTACTGCTATATATAGTCTTTAAAGGTAAGGTAGCTATTATAGGATAGTTTAACGAAAATCTACCGAAAGACTAGCGAATTAAGGTCTTAAAGAATAGCTAGACTACTAATAAGATTAGCCTACGCTAGCTAGAAAAGTACTTTATCCTATACACGAATTCGCGCGTATAGGGTTAGTTTCGGCTATTAATTCTTAACGATTATAGTAGCTACCTTACGCCCTAATTTAACCGAATCTATATAGAAAACGATATTATACTACTTTATATACCTATATATTATTATAATTACTATAGCTACTAGATATTAGTTATTTTATAGTGATTAAGCGCGTATATAGTTACTTTATTAGCGATCTTACGCGTAGAGGATATAACTATATTAATAAGCACGATTTTTTAGTAGATTACTAGTACGCGCGGCTAGAAGCCTTCTAATTAACTAATCCTACTATTAAAAATAGCTTCGTAGCTAGTAATCTAGTACTATTAGATACTAAGAGGATACTTAATAAGCTTAATATCTCCCTACGAATACCGATACTACTAAGTAGTAGACTAAGTAGTAGATCTAGCTAATTTATACTAAAAACGCCTAGGACCGTTACTTAGCTATTTAAATAAGCTTTAATACTAAAAGACCTACTAAAGCGACGGTTATATAGCCCTCTAAGCCTATCAAAAACTATCTTAGACTAGATAATTAAGGGATTCTAGCTAGCGCTATATAGTAATACTTTACTAGTAGAGGATAATACGAATCTACGTATAGCGAGTAAGAAGATAATTAAAAAGCGTAATCGGTTAACTAAAAGGATACCCTACGTAGAGGATTTAACTATTAAAGAGGCTATATAGCTAGCTAAGTAGCTAAACTAGCTAGAGGAAGATAATAAGGTAGTTTCGTATATAGAGGTTAAATTACCTAGTTAGCTAATTATACTAGTAAAGAGGGCACTACCTAGGTATAGTAGGTATAGGGAGATTAGTCATAGGATTAATATATATAAAAATCGCTATATTTAGTTAAATTAATGGGTAGTGGTTAGGATAATCGATTTTGAAGTATTCTAATAGGAGAGGGTACGCGGGACGACCGGGTGCGCGGGAGGGCCGGGAATTACGTTAGTTAGTTATTAAGGTTAGGCTCACTGATCAGATTAGGACGCTCCGATCAAGCTAACTAAGTAAATCGTAATGCTTAGATCAGGCTTAGTGAGTGAATCAGCATGATTCTATAATGATTAGGTTAATCAGTTATGTGCTCAGTTCTACTCAGTGAGTAAAAGTGGCGAGAGGCTAGTGATTGAAGTTACACTAGAAGTCTAAACCTCTTCTCTTTGTATCACTGAAAAGGAGAGTGCCGAGTATGGTGGTGAATAGAACGGTCTTACATACCAGTTCCTCTCTTAGTTGCTAGATCTTGCTGAGGTTACAGGATATCTGAATCAGAGCTCTACCTGAATGAATAAACTGTATGTCACTTCCCTCTATATACATCACCTCAACAAGACATTATACACTCCCCACGCACAGACAACCCGATTTAGGAGAAATACGCTAAAGAACCGCGACATATCGAACCAAAAATAAATCATATCTATCAACAGCGAGAAATATATACTCCCTTTTAAACCTCCCGGGTTCTAAGCCTAGGGTATTTCGGTGCCTCAATTTCCGTTTCCGTCTCTAGGCCAGACAGGCTGAGAAATCGCCGGCTGAAGTTAGCTTCCTAGTCTTCTCCTCCAGGACTCCTCGGTGTCGCTACGGAAGGGCTACGGTCTTGGCTTGTTCCCGGTTGGGATAAGTCTTGTCCGCCCACGCGCAGGTTCTTTGGCTTCGGTGGGGCCGTAGGTCGTGACGGGGGACGAGCAGAAGGGTATCCCGCAGAATAGGCTGTGATAGACTGAGGTAAATTACAGGGGCACTGGTATCGTCATAACGGTCCGGAGGGGCCATGGTCCCTTCGCGAGCACCATAAATAGGACCGGGGGTACGAGAGATAGGGAGCGTGCCCGATGAGGAGGGCCGACTATCACTGCCACCTTGCTTTGCCTGCAAAGCATTGGCATCGGTGTATTTCCTATACCCAGTTGCGGTCTTGGGAGCCACCTAGGGCTTGTTGGACTCCCTAATGAAATTCTGCACCCGGTTCAAAATTGTTCGAGATCGATGCTGGCCGCTTCCATCGCCTTCGGCGACCCGGCGCCTATATTCTGATGCAGTATTGGCAACGTGTTTCTCTTCCTGAGAGAGCCGGCGGCGCTCATTTTCACCTCGTAGCTTAAATGAGACCATTTTGAAACATCTTTCACCGGTCAGACTCGGTGAATTCCATCAAATTGTTGAGAAGGCCAAAACCTACAGATTTTCTAAACGAAACGTCACCACCCTATGAATAACGATATCCGAGGATGGTGAACTTAACCTGACTAATGGATTCTTGATAACTGTTGATGTATTTACCAGACTAAATCGATCGTCGAGTGTTCAACAATCACAGTTCATTCCTGCAAATTCCGCTAATAATGGTGATGTGGTATCCACAATTTGCTAGAATAGCTCGCGGGTGTGACCTTCGAAAAATAAGTGATGATTTGAACACTGTTATTTGAGCATAGTTGATTGCGTATAATGTAGTGATGAAAACAGAACAAGTATGACTTTTTATCAACAGCCTTTAAACTACAGCACGGGTAAATAAGCTAAAGCATTCAGAATCAACCTTAGATAGCGCGCTTTCTAACTGTTGAATAACAAGCGGAAAATTAAATATTGTTAGCTAAGCAAAAGTAAACGGGTATAAACTTGATACTTGACGGTCAACGTTTAGGCAAATTCAAGTGCGTTCGTTCAGGCAAGTTTCACTTTTTAGCAGTTTTCACCAACACCGTTTGATAATCTGAGTTAAACGGTGGTTTAAAAGAACCCCATATCTTGCTGCCTTGGGTCATCGGTCACGTGGCGTTCGGGGTTTATGGGATCCCCCGAGGACCAGGAAATTGAAGAACTGAAAATTTTTTTAGATACCCTGGAAGCGGGCTCACGTAAACTACGATTATAGAGAAAAAATACTAATTAAAAGAGAATATTAAAAGGGATATTAAACTTCATTTAATTTAACTAGGAAGTATAATAGTATTTATATCTTAGGAAATATAATAAAGGATTATATAAAGTATTAAGAATTTAGAAGTAACTATAGAGTATTATATAGTCTCCTACCTAAGTAGGTAATTTAGTACGAGATCGTTAAAGATTAATCTAATAGATCTTATAGAGAAGATCTAGAAGTAGTAAGGGGTTTTAGTAGGGTCTTTTGTTATATAACCCTATAATATTTATATATTAACATAATTTAACCTAGCTAACCCCTAGTAAGGAAGTATCGTTTAACCGGTCGATTAGTAATAGTATAGGTATACTAGTAGTTCCTCGCTACTATACGGCTATATATAAAGAACGCTAGAAAGTAGCAGAATCGATTAGGTAATCGTTAATAAAGAGATAGTCTTTTCGGGACTATCTAGTCTCGATATAAGTATTTTAAGGGCCGTAAGTACTATATTTATACCCTCGGCGTCGCCCTTATTAGCTTTAAGTATAAGTCTTCTAACGTTTCTTACGAATCCCTTTACTATATTATTAACCTTATAGTTATTAGCCTCTATATATCCGAGAACGGACTAGGTAGCTTTAGCGATATCGTTTATACTAGTTAATTCTATCTAGCCTAGTCGGCTAGTCCTACTTTAGTTATTTTTTTGGTCGCGCGAGAATTCTTACTCCCCTAATCTAGGAGGTCTTAGCGTAGAATCTACACTATAGAACCCACGATTCTAGGGTAATAGGATACTATTTAGGTTAACTATCACCGCTATCACGGTTATACCGGGTTAAAACTAGTATTAACCGATAGGGTATAGGGTTAAATTAAATTTAAACGTATCGTTAGAGATTTATAAGCCCTAGATCCGGAGATATCGTAAGATATCGATTTCGCTAAGAGGTAGTTATTTTTTTAACTCCGAGAAGGGAATATATAAGCGCGTATTTTCTAAGGCTAGAAAACGTCCGTATTATAAATAATATATATTAATACATAGATATTATAGGGTCATATAACGAAGGACCTACTTATATAACCCCTCTCTACGTCTAGATCTTCTCTATAAGATCTATTAGATTGATCCTTAACGATCTTGTATTAAATTGTATACTCGCACTAAATTACCTACCTAGGTAGGAGACTATCTAATACTCTAATACTCTTTGCTTTCTTATATAATCTTTTACTATGTTTCTAAGATATAAATACTGCTATGTTTCCTAACTAAATTGAATTAAGTTTATTATCCCTTTTGATCTCTCTTCTAGATCGGTAATACTCTTCTATAATCGTGGTACTTCTGCTAGTGCGTATAACCGATAGACTTATAACCGTATATTTAGACACTATATTAAGTATTTACTAATCCTTATATATACTATCGTCTTATATATATAACCACGACTTTATAGTTACCGCCTAGAGTCTGATAGTTATAAGCCTGACGCCTCTACTCTAACTATTTAACTAATTTAATCTTCTCTTACTCGACTCTCACTTTCGCTTTACTTCTTATATAGAAGTAATAGATTTAACTACTCTATAAGCTACCTAGCTTAACTACCTATTAAAATCTTACGTATACTAGGTTCCCTAGATTACTACGGTTAAAGACTATATAATCGTATATAACCTATAGAAATACGCTAATCCGGACTAAGCTACTCTATCTACCCTACCTTAGGAACTAATTAAACTATAGATATCTAATATAATTAGAAACCCTACTAATATATATATATCTAATCTTCCTAAATAGCTACTTAGGCTTATCGACCTTATATCTAACTAATTAGCTATCTATAAGATACTACTAAGTAAATACGAATCGTTAAGATTAGACTACCTTCGATATCTTCGATCTATCGAATCTCTTAAGTAAGGTATCCGATCCTCGCTTATACTAGAAGGATATTAAATTATTAATAGCCTATTAGCACACGAAGCTATAGTAAAACTACGTGCTATCTTCGTCCTATCCGACTAATTAAAGAATCGTTAAATCCTATACGATTAGGATAAGCTAAAACGATAAGCTCTACTAACTAAATTATCTTAACTACCTATATAGGGTTAGAAGTGGCTAATTAGCTAATTAGAAGGCGAGAAAGTAATAATTACCTACTTCTAAGACTATCTATCTCTAGTATACGATTTCCTAGAGATAATTTAATCTAGCGACTAAGGATTCTATACCTTCTAGTATAATATAATCCTATAGGGTCTAAAGAAACCTACCCTAACTAAACTAGTTAATTAATTCGTCGACTAGTACTAACTACCTACTATACTAATTAGTAATAGTAGAAGATAACCTATCGCCTATATAACCTACTAAGGATATTACCCTAACGAATTAGACGAAGAAGGACCTATATAATTAACTAGAAGAAGAAAGTGTCCTTATAGGGATATACCTAACTCTAGTAACCACGATTTTAAGACGTATTACTATATAAATCCTAAGGTAAGACCTAGGGGGTAGTAACCTAACCTAGAGGTCTAAGAGTGATTTAAAAAGCGATACGATAAATCTAGAGGATTTAAGATAGCCTATTAACGCGTAATTCGACGTTACTAACTAGCTAATTCGACTAATTTACCTAATTTAACTAATTTACCTAATTCGACTAATTCGACTAATTCGCCTAATTTAACTAATTCGACTAATTTAGTTAATTTAACTACTAGAGACGCTTTCTCTACCTATATACTAAAATAATAAGTCGAGACTCTCTTTCGAGAGGAAGATAGTATTACGATAAGTATAATTAGGATTCCTACTAAGAAGAACGATACTTAGTACTATAATACCGGAGTATTAATTTATATCACGAATAATAGGGATCTACTATTAAACTATAGGCCTATTATATCCTCTATTATAGTTAGAAATACCAAAACTACTATCCTTAGTTATAGCGAACTATCTATTAAACTATTAGAATCTCTTAATAGAACTACTTTCCCTTTAAAATAAGTTACCTATTATCCTAGATTCTATATTAACCTAATCTCTATAGAAAGAGCTACTAGTATAGGTATCTATCTAAATAGTAAGGATTACTTACTAGAAGAAAAGGACGGAACGCCTATCTATAAGCTTAATACGAAATTAGGTATCTACCTAATTCGATAGGATAATTTAATTACTAATTAACTAACTACTACTAACTACGCTTACGTTTTATTTACCTCTTACTTATCTCTTACTTCTATCTTACACGATTAAGTTATACCTATTACTAAGTAATTTAGTAAGGTTACCCTATCTTTATATATTAAGAAGTACCTAGATAGGATAATCGACCTATAGTATAGACGATTAGGATATATTAGTAAGGACGTCTTATCGTATCTACTAGAGTACTTATTAGGTATTACTATTAAAGATATATCTTCGCCTATTAACTACTACGAGATATATAAACTAGCGAATTTATACCGTTAAATCTTATAATTACCTATATAATATAATCGCCCTTTCGAATCTCTATATTAGGATCTTATATACTTCGAACTATCTCTAGTTAAAACGATCTATCTATCTTACTCTATCGACCCTATTACTAAATACTAACTAGCGGAAGATCTATCTACTAAGATAGATTTAATATAATCTCTCTACGACTAAGTCGATTTTATATAATACTAATTTAATCTACGCGTCCTTACTATTTATTTAGATAACGAGAAGTCTCTATCTAAATTCTTTAACTAATTATAATCACGTAGTATCTATCTAGAAACTATACTATCCTATTAACCTAACTAAAACGGCTACGCTAAGCGTTATAGCGTATTAATTTTAAAGATAGCTAGGTAGATAATTATCGATTTAAACCTACTAAGCTATCTCTAGCACAAAGCTACTAGAACTACCGTCCATATTTAAAACTACCTATCTTACTATATTCTAAACTAGTAATCTCCGTACGAAGCCCTATTAATCTATCTTAGTAATAAAGTACTATATTAGCTATAGATAAAGCTAGACCTCTTAAATCTTCGAATCTTTAGATATAAAGCTTATATATATATTACTAAGCTACCTAGATTAGCTAAGCTAGTACTACGTACTACTATTAGCTATCTAGTAGGTTATAAAGCCTATAATATCTAGCGTATCTAGATACCTACTAAACAACGTATAATTCGTACATAAGACGTCTAATTTAACGAGAAAGAA